GTGGTGTGACCATTTAAATAATAATCATAATGCATCAGTTTTATATAGCGCTTTTTTGGACACTCAAAGACACTTTACAGAGCATTCACTCCACACCCGATGGTGGTAAGCTAACATTATAGCCATAGCTGCCCTGGGGCAAACTGACAGATTGCTGCCAATCTGCACCTCTGGCTCCTCCAACCACCACCATCAGTCACACGCACACTTTTAGATGCTTAGAATTTAAAATAAAATATATTGTAAAAATACTAAAGAATCTCATAAAATCAATCCTATATTCAAGCTGTAGATGCCCTGTCAGCCAAACACGGTCAGTTTGATGCTGTTTTCTATGGGAGAATTCTTTCTGGGCCGGAGCTCCTGGGAGCTGCAGTACCTGGAGCGGCCACTAGTCGATCTCGCTCGTGGACAGAGGGGGAGTGTCTTATCCAGTTCTTATTATAGACCCATGATATGAGCGCACGAATCAGCTCACCTATTGTAGTTTTAATCAAGTCAGCTCTTTCCAGTCAGACTGTGTTAAAGAAGACATCTCCACCTGTTGCTCAGGAACTACCAGGAGCTCTCCAACCTCTCTGACAGAGTAGTCCTTTCAGTTAGCTAAGTTAGTTAGCTTAAGTTAAGTATTTGTTCTTGGATCACTCAGAATGTTGCCCATCTCTTATAGGATGAAACGGGGGACAGCGATGGAACTTCTGGGGAAACTGACACCAGCGGCGAAACGACCATCGCGCAGCTGTTGGCAGCATTGGCAGCATTGGCCACCGCCACCACCACCACCACCGCCGCCCCTCCCGCCACCACATAGACAGTGGGCACCGCAAAGAACCTGGCTCCAGCTCCAAATGTTGTTGTTTATGTATTAGAAAACAACTATGGCGTGATTGATGCTTAATAAACTGCAATGTCATAATCTGATGTCTTCTCATTTCCTACAAACAAATGCATCATCTAACTGTTGGATTTCACATGACATCACAACATTCTATTGGCCATTTTATTAAATACAGATGGGGGGGGGGGCTCATGGCTCTAGTCACTGTTAGAAATCATCAGAGTTAACATTTGGGCATTTACCTTCTGGATATTTCATATTAAATAAAATAAACAACTACTTAAAATTCTAATTAATTAAAGTCCAGACTGCCTGATTGTTTCTATGTGTAGAATACTTCAGTTTGTGTCATCTGCTGAAGAATTCAATTTATTTGTGTACTTTTATCATGCTGTCAGTGACATCCATCCACAGCTCCTTGTTCACTGCCTTATCTTTAAATCTATATTAATTTTAGCATGACTCAACAAAAAACCCATAGATTCACAATTGGACAGGAAGTAATCACACACAGAGCCTAGTCAGTCTATTCAGCTTTTCTTAACCATTTTAGACCTTGGAGTTGGATCAACACATTTTCAGTGCAAAGTATCCTGGGCCCATTCACATTTAAATACATTTCGTTATGTAGAAAAACAGAAGACAGAAGACCCCAACAATTCAGGCATAGAAGAAAGGGCAGTAGACAGGGAGGACCAAAGGGGTCTGTTAATCGAGCCCAGAGTTTTAGGGGCCCAGAATTGGACCCTCTTCCTTTTAATTTATATTAAAGGGGGCATGTGTGAGGCTTCTTGCCCAGGGGCCTCCAAATTAATGTTGACAGGTCTGTGTAGGAGTCATACATACACATATTATAATCTGATTTCTGCTCATTTACTATAAACAAATATATAAGCTAATTCTGTGGTTCTTCAGAAGTAAATAGGCCAGATTTTTTCTTTTTAGTTAGATATTGTTGAGATAAAAAAAAAATAAAAAATCACTTCTTGAGCATAAGCAAGACAGACTTTTAATGACAATTTCAAACATAAAATTTCCTTCAAAGTTGGATTTATAAATCACACGTCTTTAATAACAGGGGATTTAACTGTGGAAAAAGCCCAAGAAATGGCTGAATCTCTTCACCATAGATAGACTGTATATATAAATGGGCATAGCTAACCCGTGAGCCATCGCATTCCAAATAGGAAGTGAAAATGGACATGCTTCCAGCTCCATACTTTGGTGAGCTTCATTTGACTGGAGCCGAACACTCCCTTAGTCCACTTCTTTATACAGTCTATATACTTCATATTTTTTGTATCATATTTGCAGCAGCAAAAAGTAACAAAAATCTTCATAGCAACACACACAAAATATTATGTTATTTTTCATTTTGGCACATAAACAGGCCCCCTGCCGCTACTAGTAACTGAATATAGAGACCCTGCATGTGATGTAACGGCCTTGCCCTGATCCTGTTCCGGCGAGCCAGACCGCCAGTAGACTGACATTGTAAAGTTAGCACATTTTTGAGTCGTTCCTTTAATTTTTGCATTAAGACACATGGTGGAAAAGTGTCGCGCACAGAGCTGTAATAAGACATAAAGACAGGGTTTCAGTTGTATCGTATGGGATGGCGTCTGGACTTTTTTTTTTTTTTTTGAGGCTTTTTAGGGGATGTGATGGGTTAATCGAGGGGCCACCCCCCATATTTTGCAAACTGGTTGCCATAAATTGGGGAATTTATGAACTGATCACAGACAAGCCATGTTACTAGAATGCTAGCTACCACCGTCGGGACCGTCAATATGGCGGCCAAAACAAAAACGGTCAAGTGACTGCAGGGTCTCTATATGTACCAAAAATACATACAATACAATTTTGAATATGTTTTTCCATTACAGCAAATACAAAAAAAAATAAAATAAAAATACATTGCAGTATTTGATCACCTAATTTAGGTCTTCAAACTGCATATAATCAGTGAGAGAAATAGAGAACACCGCTCTTGTGCTTTTGTGGTGAATGCAAGAGTAATTTTTTCCTTTTACTCTACTCTTAAAAAAAAGTTAGCAGTGATAGGAAATGCTTTAAAAACTGTGAGACAAACATACACACACACACGCACACACACACAAACACAAACACACACACATACATGCAGGTTTTCAGTATTCTGCAACTAAATATTTTTAACAAGTATTCTTCCCATCACTGACTCCTGCTCTTGATAATCCCATACAATGCCTCAAGCTCCTGTAATGAAATAAGCAGCAACAAATGTGACACCCAGTTTCTTGTAGAGTGGTCCCTGCATCCCGCCATGGGGGGCATGGGCATGGCTCGGCCTGCTCCGACTTGAGTGGGGATCTGAGGCAAAGCTCCAACACATACTTAACTTATTTTCAATACTCAGATTAACTAGTAATAAAACAAGTCAGCAGTAAATCATCCGAATAGCCTGTCTATCCCCCCCGTGCACACACACACGCACAGCCCCGCACACACACACATGCACACACACACACACACACACGCATATGCACACACGCACACACACACACACACACACACACGCATATGCACACACACACACGCATATGCACACACACACGCATATGCACATACGCACACACACACACACGCATATGCACACACGCACACACACACACACATGCATATGCACACACGCACACACACACACACACACATATGCACACACGCACACGCATACACATGCACGCATATGCACAGACACGCATACACGCATTTGCACACACACAGACACACACGCACGCATATGCACACACACGCACACACACACACACCCACGCATGCATATGCACACACACGCATATGCACACACACAGACACCCACACATAAGGTCCACACTGTCACCAGCCCCCATCACCTTTGTCCCTATTTGTGTGTAATCTTCGTAATCGTAATGTCTGTCTTGTACCTTGTATGTTGTTTGGTTCCTATATGTTGTAATGTATGTAACCCCTGAGATTAGTTCAGAGCATTGACAGTGGATTTCAGGTTTATCCTCCAGTTACAACATTTGCTTGTGTTTCTGTTCAAAGCAAATGTCCAATCACACTCACCTGATTGAGTCAAGGCAGTATGTCACTAACACATTTTGAATCATATAACTGAAAGGTTTTTATTCTCGACTCGTCTCTTTTAATGTTAACTTTGTGATGATTATTTGTGCTTCGATTTGTCTGTGTTGTGATTTTAATGTCTTTCATAAGCCCTATTCACACGGGATAAGTACAAGCTGGGGATATCTGGTAATTTGCAAATTACCACCCCACCTCTGTGTTACTTGCAGCGCATTTGCACGGGATAAGCAAAGTCCGTAAATTACAGTTTTACTGACACTGACTGAAACTAAAAGAGAAAAGAATAATAACAATATAAACAACAATAAACAGACAGATGCTGATTCACACGGGACAAGTATTATCACCGGTCGATTGTGTTTGACGAAATATAGTAGATAATTTGCGGCAGAATTTTTACTTCACAAATTACAGACAGAGGTAGTTCTACAATTACAGAGATTAAGATCTCAGGCATCCTCCGCAATTATTAGAAATCACCAAAGATCCACAGATAATACTAATCCCATGTGAATTATTTATATAATTTAATAATTTATTCTGTGAAGCACTTTGAATTACTTTATGTGAGAATTGTGCCACAAATAATATATATTTGCCTAGTGTCTGTGACATGAGTTGACTGGATGGGTTTATTTCTGATGAATGAAGTCAACAATGGCATTTAATACCAAAAAGAATGTTTTTGTTTGCCATTAAAGAATGTTTCATATTTATTACTTTTTACATTTTTAGATTGATAGAAGTGTTTAACTACAGTGATGTCAGTGATTATATATTACAAATAGCATTTCCAAATGTGACAAAAAATTAAACAGTGATTACAACAGTGTAAGCAAGGGCAGGGCTATAAATACTCTATAAGATTAACTTTAATCTTATTAGAGATGTATAGATATGCCATAATAATTGCAGATGGGATTAAATAGCGCCCAGTAGGGTTAATATCATGTAAGACACCACACCTGATAAAGTGAACCAATGTCCATTTCTTAATAAGTCTTTCTTAAACCTAATCAGTTAAGCTCTGCTCTCAGTCTCAGTCTTGTATAAAAGGAGGCGAGCGGTCCTCGTACAACACAACTCTCCTCTGGCTCATCTGTGTGACAACAGAAGACTAGACAAGGTAAGAATATAAGACTTATTTTGGTGCAGTGTTTGTATACAGTGTTAATGAGAGTCTCTTTCTACAGTGTAACCATGCTGAAGGTAGCTCTGATCCTGGGATGTCTCCTGAGCCTTACATTGGCTTCTCCTGTAAGTCTAATACAACTATTACAATACTGTTGAAAGGCTGCAGACTAGAGGCTATTCAGTCAAATGAGTACTACATTTACAAATTCTAAAACAAATACTGAACTAAAAGCATTTATATCAGCTGTACAGGCACAGGTGGTATTTCAAGATAATTATTTTTATATGTAGAACACTTAAATTTGCAGTGTTGTTGTAATATTTATTATGCATCAACATTAGCATTAGCATTAGCATTGAGACATAAACATCTCTCTTTCTAAACTTAGAAGTGTCCTCAGCTGAAGTATTCATTTTAGTATTAAGTGAGACGCATTATCCAATCAGAGCAACAAGACCAATCAAAAATACAGACCAAAGACAAAACTAGAAAACATGATCACATTTAACAAATATTCTGTACACAGAAGGAGCACCATCGTAATGTGCGCTCTACCGAAGGAGACTCAGGAGAGTCAGGAGAGGTAAGGCTTTACTAAATGATCTGAACATTAAAGAGTCAATTCTGGGGATTGAGAAAAGATTCACTGTTTTCATTGTCTTTTGTAGACTACAACCACAGCTGCAACCACCACTCTGTCACCTGCCCAGCTCCTTGTACTTCTCCAGAATCTCCTAGCAGCATCAGGGTGAAAAGAGATGGAGATGGAAGTCCCAGACAGTTGGGCTGAAGCTGTACTAATGTGTGTGACAAATAAAAAGCAATATTAAAAACAAGTTGTGTGCTCCGTCTTGTTTGATATGGCAAACAACCTAAAACAGTAAATATAATAATAATAACAATAAAAATAATAATAACAATAATAATAATAATAATAATAAAATAGATCAGTAGAGTATTTTCTGTGTAAAGCTATGTAGATGCAACCTTCCAGTGACTACACAGATCTCCAAGTATCTCATAAATCATAATTATTATTACATAAAGTTTCATAAATGTCCGCACACAACATATGGCCAAAACTGGATTCACCCAAGCACAATGTTCACTTTGACATTTCAGACCAGTGTTTATGAGGAGTTTTATAGAGCACGTAGTCTATTGGGTCTAACAGACTTTACAGACTGCAGTGAGCCTCGGTCTGTCCCAGCCCCAGTGCTCTCCACATGGGTCTCTGTTACAGCCCTGCGTCTGGTCAACGCGCTGGACTCTACCCCTCCACCACCCCCATCACCCAGACTTCCTCATTCACTCCCTCCCTTGCATTTACACATGTCATAATGTCAAACCCATATTTGCCATATAAGTTCACAGGGCATTTGTAACTAAATACATATGCATTTTTATGTAAATGAAATGTAAATGAGTGCTGTGATGTTCTTAGCTGGATGTTGGTGAATTAGGCACAACTGTCATTTATATATAAAATATAATAAATACAGCTGCTTAAAAAAGCGCTGTGAATCTGGAGCAGAGTTCGCTCAGCATCTTCTTAAAGGTTGTATAGAGAATTTTTTTTTGTTTCAAAGTGACAACTGACAATGAAAGTTTAAAATACCATTACAGAGATGCAGCAGCAAAAAAAAAGAATGAAAATCTATCAACTGTGGACATAGTGAGGCCAGACAAACATCAACCAATAGAAAACAAGGCTACCTCATTTTCTATTGGCTGTTAGGTTATCAATCAAACTTCCTACATTTCTAGTGTAACTGACTTGCCAGCGCGGGGGGATTATGTGCTTTATGCAGCAGTTCTTAGAGGCTTTTTCAAATTGTAGCTTCCACGAAATTCGCACAGTTTGTTGCGATGACGGATGAGAATCCATGACCAGTTCGCCGCAAAAGAAAGTCCGTTTTTGAGGTCGTTGAAAGAAGAAGAGAAGGGGAAAAGGAGCAAAGCCAAACTGAGATGATTCATGGAGATTCCTCCCAGCGATTGCGCGAATGAAACAGACAAAGGGTCTAAAAACTGACATGTCGGTCACTAAATTATTTCTAGACAGGTCACTTCAACAGTAATTCTGAACACGCACTGGATGTAAACAAGCGTGATTTCTAGAGTAACGAGGCGGGAGGAGGTGTTTCTACTGAGGGAACTGTAGAGGAGGAAGGTGGTGTCACGCATGCACAACATTTGAAAAAGGACTGTCGCTGTATTTCTCTTCCCATAAAAAATCCTCTATACAACCTTTAAAGTGGAAGTTACAAACATTTTTTAAGAAAACATTCACGAACGAGGCTCAGTATAATCTAAAACGACTTAATAAAAGAAACAAGTTTGCTGGCTTCCGCGTTAGAAAACTGTGGTGCCTCATGGGAGCTGATGTCGCCGTAAACTCCATCAAAACAAAGAGTCAGCAACTGTTCTAGATAGCTGTGGACTATTTTAATTTGTACCAAAATGGCTACACAACACTGCCGAATCCTGTGTCTTTTATCTGTTAAGAAAATAAAATAAGAACGACATAAGTACTGAGTAATGGCCGTATGCCAGTGGCGATGAAAACAGGAGTTGATTGACAAAATGTCATCTTGAAAATAAGTGATAAAAGATTACTCAAACATGGACAAATCACTCCAAGTACAACTTCAGAGGGTAAACAAAAAGGAACAACAATAACATGGTAAAAAACTCTGAAAAGTTCATTTTGCACCACGCTCATGGTGAATGCATGTTTTTTTAGCTCTGTGGTAAAAAGTGACAAAGTGGAAACACTTAAATCAGCACATCTCATCATCCGGATCTTTATACAATTACTAATATGAATGCTTTAGTCCTCAAAATCTTTTATCTTTTATTCTTTTACTATTAGTATGGTATTTTTGTAGACTGGTATGGTATTCTTTTATCTTTTATTCTTTTACTATTAGTATGGTATTTTTGTAGACTGGTATGGTATTCTTTTATCTTTTATTCTTTTATTATTAGTCTGGTATTTTTGTAGACTGGTATTGGCATCAGATACTCCTTACTGTGTTGATTTACTCTGTATGTATCACTAGGAGCAGAGGGGCGGAGACAAAGGTACAGGTGAAAACACTGGTCTGTAATGTCAAAGTGAACATTGTGCGTGAGTGAATGCAGGTTTCCATCTATGAAACATGCAAGAATTATGATTTCTGAGTTACTTGGAGGTCTGTGTAGTGACTGAAAGGTTGCATCTGCAGAGCTTTACACAGAAAATGCCCTATTGAACCTATGTCCTATTATATTTATTGTTTTAGGTTGTTTGCTATATAAAACAAGACAGAGCACACAACCTGTTTTTAATATTGCTTTTTATTTGTCACACACATTAGTACAGCTTCAGCCCAACTGTCTGGGACTTCCATCTCCATCTCTTTTCACCCTGATGCTGCTAGGAGATTCTGGAGAAGTACAAGGAGCTGGGCAGGTGACAGAGTGGTGGTTGCAGCTGTGGTTGTAGTCTACAAAAGACAATGAAAACATTGAATCTTTTCTCAATCCCCAGAATTGACTCTTTAATGTTCAGATCATTTAGTAAAGCCTTACCTCTCCTGACTCTCCTGAGTCTCCTTCGGTAGAGCGCACATTACGATGGTGCTCCTTCTGTGTACACAATATTTGTTAAATGTGATCATGTTTTCTAGTTTTGCATTTGGTCTGTGTTTTTGATCGTTGCTTTGATTGGATAATGCATCACACTTAATACTAAAATGAATACATCAGCAGAGGACACTTCTGTGTTTAGAAAGAGAGACGTTTGTGTCTCAGTGCTATTGCTAAAAGTCACTGTTAGCTTTGAGACACAGTGAGCTAGCTAGCATGCTGCTGAGCACAGAATCTGTGCAACTTTTTAGTGCCTACAGTAAAACCAATCTAATATCAGTCTTTACCATTACAGTAAAGTCAATGATGATAATATTCATTTTGATGTGTATCCTATGTAGTACTCATTTGACTGAATAGCCTCTAGTCTGCAGCCTTTCAACAGTATTGTAATAGTTGTATTAGACTTACAGGAGAAGCCAATGTAAGGCTCAGGAGACATCCCAGGATCAGAGCTACCTTCAGCATGGTTACACTGTAGAAAGAGACTCTCATTAACACTGTATACAAACACTGCACCAAAATAAGTTTTATATTCTTACCTTGTCTAGTCTTCTGTTGTCACACAGATGAGCCAGAGGAGAGTTGTGTTGTACGAGGACCGCTCGCCTCCTTTTATACAAGACTGAGACTGAGAGCAGAGCTTAACTGATCAGGTTTAAGAAAGACTTTAAGAAATGTACATTGGTTCACTTTATCAGGTGTGGTGTATTACATAATATTTACCCCACACCTTTTATTATGAAACATAAAAAACAACATGTAAATCTAACACGGCTCAGGCAATATTAATATGGCTAGCATTCTGAATTGAGTTCTACGCATTTATCAAACTGAGATGAAAGTGATGAAAATGACTATTTGAATCTGATTGGTGGAAGCATCACAACAGTGAAACAAGCTGAAAAATCCAGTTGAGAGAAAAGCACAGACATCTTCCCTCTTCACAAATGCACAAAGAGCTTCCCTTCTGCATGTTTTTCACAAACTAAATAGTCCTGTAGAATTTATGCTAAAATTAGGGATGCACAGTTTTTCACTATATTATTCAGACTCTGTTTGAGACCTGTGAAAAGATGATAACCCTGCCAAAGCACATGGCTACTTAAAATATGTAAACAAATTAGCGCATTCCACTCCAGGCATGGCGTTATGGGTGGAGCTGATGGGCCTTGGCCCTCCCACAGCTCAACAGGCCCACCCAAAACTTTTCTTTAAAAAAAAAAGCTTATAAATATAAGATTTATTTTAATTAATTCATCACATAATTTGTGCTACAATAGTCGAAAAATGTTCTGTTTTTGTTTTGTTTTTTAAGAAAAAAGCTGGTTATGTTGATGCTTCTGCTCAAGTTCAGCAGACAGTTCCAGACAGACGGAGCCACAGCAGTTCCTGCACTCAGTTTGCGAACGCACCCACTGAGTTGACAGACAAATAATCCATCTATATATCGCTTGTTGTTGGTATGCTAGGCTAGTGATCTGAAAGAGTGAAAATCAATTCCAGTAAAGGACAATATTAAAGCCGTCCTTGTTTAGGTTACTTAAACGTACACGAACAGAATCATGGCTGCTACCAAGAGATGAAGGAGAGGCTGTTGGAGAGCTGAGACCAGCACATCTTCTGTGCCACCCCAGGATGCTAGAGCTGCTAGTGTGACCCTCGCCGATGCTAGAGCCTCTGTCTGTAACTCATGAGTGGATGATCATCCTCCTGGTGCTTTAGTCGTCATATGGACTGGCTATAACTTTCAGATTTAAGTGGGAAGTTGGATTAAAACCAGTTTTACCACCAGCTCGTGCACTCAGCTCCCAGACCTCGCATCGCAGACCTGACTGGACTGGGAATTGGACCATGGTTTCATCTCTTACTACTGGACAATAATACACTGGAGACAATAATACACAGGAGACAGAGCCAACTGGACAGCAGATAGAGGATACACTCTTCTTTAGTCCTCTGGAGAAGGTAAGAGGCTTGTTTTTGTTAGTTTTGGGCAAATCTGAGGACAGAGCCTCACAGGTAAATAGTGTTATAGTTTTAATACTTAAATAGTGTGTAAATGAAATCGTGGGTGCGACATGGCTGCTCCGGTGCTCTGTTGTGTGCGTTGTAAGTGCGGCGCTGATGCCATGTGTTTGTGTTGTGAACATAGACTCTTACTGTAGTTTTGCTGTTGCTGTTGGGGCTGGGTGTGAGCGGT